ACCACTGACCTAACCTACTGATTATGAGCTTAGACTCTTTCAGATTGTCATGGTTTCACTATCACGGCAACTCCCGCCCAGCCGTCCCATGGGTTAGGGGTTCATGGGAGTTGGAGTCCTTCCTTTCAGAGGATGAAGCTGGAGAACCTCTAGGAACACTTACAATGTCCGAGTTGAACGGCTTCACATTGATGTTGCGGACGGAGCTGCTGGTGAGCGACCACACTTTGGTTTTGTGCTTGAAGGCGGCTCTCACCTTGGTGGGGAGAAGCAAAAAAAGGCAAGGTTATGAGGAGCCAGGTCCCCGACACACTCTGGAAACACTGAGTTCACAAGCCATGGCTCTCCACTCAAATCATCTTGCGTCCTTCACTGGTGAGCTAAGCAGCCCCAGAGCTCACAAACCTCGCCCAGATACCACCAGATATTTCACACTACAGTGGTGCCTCGCAAGACGATGTTAATTCGTTCCGTGAAAATCACTGTTAAGCGTAAACATCATCTTGTGAAACACTTTTTCCCATTGAAATGCATTGAAAACCTGATAATCCATTCCAATGGGAACGGATTGTCATCGTTAAGTGAAAATTCTCATAGGAAACATCGTTAAGCGGAACACGGTTTTCAAGCGAAGACAGAGACCATTAAAAGAACTCATAAAGTGAAGCAAGACCAAGCTGTCAAAAACATTGTAAACGAAAAACAGGGACCTAAAATTTAATTGTCTTGCGAGGCAAGGTCCCTAACTTCGTTAAGCAAAAATCACCTATAGGAAACATCGTTATACAAAGCGCAAGATCACTCCGAAAACTTCATCGTAAAGCGAATTTGTCATTAAATGAAGCAATCGTCTAGCGAGGCACCACTGTATTGAAAACATAGTTCAACAAGCGTAGGAGGAGACAGCCATCCACCCATTTCATCAATTCAGTTGTTGAGTAGAGAGGGACACAAACCAGTTCATCCCAGTTCGTCCCAGTTTGTAAAAGTGGCAGCGCAGGTGCTGCTGCTGCTCCCCTCGCCCACCACCCTCTGGCTCGATCAACCACTCACGAGGCTCAACCTCCGGTACCTTTGACTGATCTTCCAGTCCCTGCAACAGCTCAAGCTTCTCTGCCCAGCCCTCCCGGCTGATCTCCCACTTGGGGGAAAAAAGAGGGGCAGAGAAGTCTGGGCTCTTGCTCGTGACTGGGAGATCCGCCGAGGATGTGGAAAAAGCAAGCAAGCTGGGCTATAGCGATCGCAAAAAGTCAATGTCTAGCAGGAAAAAAACTGTCATGCGGGGTAACTGTCTAGCAAGGCACCACTCTACATGGAAAACAAATGTTCTACCACTGAAGAACACTGCCTCCCGTCTTGCAGCAGTAGGTAGCAATTCCAATGAGCAAAACATCTGGTTGGATATAGCCGGTCAACATTTTACAGCTGCACTCTGCAGCTTTGTGATGGCTGTTCCTTTTACATGCATAGCGCTTGATTGCAGTCCTAGTCACTGGTTTACTGAAGATACTATAAATCATGGCAACAGCAACCGAATATACTATATACAAGTCATCTCACGTTGCTGAGGCAACTCTCCAGGGCAACGTCATTAAATAGCACCATTATTCTCCTAACACTGTGTCTGATTTACAACCAAATTTTAAATCCTTGTATTATTTCCCTAAATAAATAAACACGAGATATATATATATGTTTATATTTTCGTGTTGCTAAGCTCTTGGAGTTTACTGCACGAAGGAGCTTTTATATATGGAACATACCTCGGAGTTCAGCAAACAGTGAAATAGAAAGATGAAAAAGCCCTGTAAAAATAAAAGATGGGAGACCATGAGGAATAGAAGCTAAGAAGCATGGTTTGAGTGGCTTCTTATAAGGAAGGCAATTTGCCATTAAAATAAAGGGATCCAAAGTAGACACAGGGATGAATTAAAAAAACAAACCCAAATTGAGATATTCGCGAAATATTGCTGATTCGTTGGATATTCGTTCCTTTGCATTCATCAGGTCTGGAGACCCCGATGAATATGAAGGGATGAATATTTACCCATTTTTATTAGTCCCTTTGTTCAGGCTGGCCACAGGAACAGACACGAGGTTTGCTTAATGACTATAAAGGGATGAATATTTACCCATTTTTATTCGTCCCTTCATGCAGGCTGGCCACAGGAATGGAAATGGGGTTTGCTTTCCCACAGCTAGCCTGCTCGTCAATGTCCCAATGATCAGCCGATGGTTGGGACATTGACAAGCAGGCTGGCTCAGGCTGGCCACAGGAACAGACACGAGGTTTGCTTTCCCACAGCTAGCCTGATCGTCAATGTCCCAAGCATCAGCTGATGGTTGGGGCATTGACAAGCAGGCTGGCTGTGAGAAGGTAAACCGGAATTTCCTTTCCTGCAGCCAGTCTGCTTGTCAATGATCCAACCATCAGCTATTTGTGTTTTAACAACAAATCTATGAGTATTCATCATCGTTAGCATTTGGTGCTTCATCAGTTCGTCCATTTGTCAAGTTCAACAAATGATGAGTCGCAACAAATCACCATTTCTTTTGATTCATCCCCATCTCTAATCCAAAATTTTCTGGAGAGACAGGGGATCAGGTCCTTTGTTCAAGATACAGACGGAGACAAAGGCTTCCTTCCTCTCACCTCCCACCCCACAAAAAGAATCTTGAACAGCTTTATTTATTTATTTATTTATTTATTGGTGCTCAAAGATTTCCTTCCTCTCACCTCCCACCCCACAAAAAGAATCTTGAACAGCTTTAGCAAAGTATTCGAACTTTTGCATATTCAACAACGAATGACGTTCAGGAACGACAACCCAATTTTTATAGTGTCTTCTGAGGCATGTACAAATCCAAAGGGCAGAGATAAACACTCTCTTCCAGGTGGCAAAGACACCTCTCTCTCTCTCTCTCTCTCCTTATTCAGAACATTTATTCCCACTCAGGTTCTTGGCCCCCGATTTGCACAACATTAACTTACCTGCAAGGAGTTGAATATCGCGAACATGTACTGAAACACCAACGCATGGACATTGACAGCCAAAACACCGAAGATCCATGAGCTTCCCAAGATGGGTAGCAAGACAGCAACAGCTTTAGCTGTCAACCTGTAAGACACAGAGAAAGGAAGGACATATATGATGAGCACCCATCTGTTATGTTCCGATGGTGTTGATGATTTCCCAATGCTGGTGGGGAAAAAGTAAACTTCTTATTTGAGAGTAGTAAAGGCGAGGCAGCTGACTGGATAGCTCAATGGTTTAGGTATCTGGGTGTGGAGCCAGAGGTTGGGAGTTTGATTCCCCCACTGGGCCTCCAGGGAGAACAGCCAGCCTGTGTAGCCTTGGGCAAGCTGCACAGTCCCAGGGCGCCCCCAGAAGAAGGGAATGGTCAACCACTTCTGAGTATTCTCTGCCTTGAAACTCTTAGAAAGGGTCATCATAAATCATAACTGACTTGATAGATGATGATGATGATGATGATGATGATGATGATGATGATGATGATGATGATGATGATGATGATGATGATGATGATGATGATGATGATGATGTTTGGCTAGGCAGAATAGGGTCGCTATCAGAATTTTAACCCATTGGGCTAGAACACTGAAAACTGAATCAAAACTTGCTTTTACCGGAAGTCAAACAGTATTCCATGGTAAAATGTATGGCTGTTTTCAAAACACTCTAGATTGGATTATGATAGTCTCTGTTTACATGGATAGCTGAACATCCAAGAAAAGATTCTTGGTGCCTCCATAGAGGCCAGTTCCATCATCTTCGCTAAGCCCAAATCAGCGATATAAAGCCATCACATCTTTCAGTTTTATTGGTGAAAATGGAAGACTTCAAAAGTTCGGTCCCTGCTAGGCAAGATTCAAGAAATTTGTGCATTTTTCAGATACTGGTCTTTTTTTAAAATTTCTTTCTGCAAAATTGGTGGAAGTGCTTTCTTGCACAGAAAAGGATCCATTCTGTGAGAAATATCCCTTTGTGTTTCAGGCAGAGAACTTTGGGTTTTGCAGAAAACACAGGGTTTTTTTAAGCGTTTTGCACAAAACCCTGGAGGAATTTTCCCTCTGCCACAGATGGAAAAGTTGATACTGTGGTTGTCATGTAAGATGGAAAAATCACACAAAAGATTACTGTGGTTTTTTTTCAGCCAAGTTTTTCAGTATGTCAAGACACACTTTTTCATGGAGGACTAGAACCTTTCGATTTGTTTCTATCCTTCATCTGGATCTCCTTATGGCATGCCGCAAGGAAAACAGATGTTTGAAGGATGAACTCTGCCGACCTTCACTTGACAACAAAGCAATCCCACGGGCCATATTTATAGTCAAAGCACAGACAGAGAAGTCAATCAATACCACTTTCATAATGGAGTCATTTTGTTGGGTGCAGTCGGGGTGGAGAGACAGGAGCATCAGGTAGCTTTAAATCACAGAACCCTCTTTCCACACACGCAGTACAATTATTCATCAACCATCCAAAGTGTCGTACTTAACTGACGGACAAATTACGGTGAAACTGGATCTCATCATTCTGCTAGAAGCCTCTTGTAAACTTGTTGACGACCTGGAAGTTTTGATTTCATGTGTTCCCCCCCCCCTTCACGTCTACTGCAGTTGAGAAAATTGGCTCACATCTACGGCAGGCGCAGGAGGCAAGAGTGATGGGTTAAGGAGTTAAGAGTCTAGTCAAAAGATCTTTAACACAATGGGCAAAGTTTCTCAATGGGAACCAGTGTAGCTTGATTGTCACCAGGATGCTGTTAGACTGAAATTTCGGTACCACCAGCTGGGCAGTGCATCAAAATGTTACTTTTCTGTCCTCCATGGGGAAAAAAATAACTTGACACACTATGACACTGAAATGGCCGGGTTTTTATAGACATATATATTTATAGTGCAGAGGAGTAACTTTCCTAAGATCTGAGCAGAGATGAGCATGAACGGCAGGTTCGTCGTTTTGCGTAGGTTCGTTCATTGGCCGAACAGGTGTCCGTTGCTTCAAAGGCCCGCCTCCTCCATTGGGCACCCACTCAGAGGCAGTACCTGGAAGAAGCAGGGCAGAGAAACCAGGACTCTTCCTCCACGTGGGAGTCCACCAGAGGAGGTGGGGCTTTGAAGCGCCAAACATCATTGCTTCAAAGGCCCGCCTCTTCCTCCACGTGGGAGTCCGCCAGAGGAGGTAGGGCTTTGAAGTGCCAAACACCTGTTCGGTCGATAAACGAACTGGCACGAACTTTGGTCGATAAACGAACTGCCACGAACTTTGGTTGATAAACGAACTGGCACGAACTTTGGTCGATAAACGAACTGGCACGAACTTTGGTCGATAAACGAACTGGCACGAAGCTGTTTATTGCCAGTTGGGTGGTTCATGCCCATCTCTAGAGCTGAGTCTGCCTATCCCTGTTTGGAGAAAATCCAGAAGGGTTTCAAAAGGAAGTGTAATATATATTCCATTGCAAAAGGATCAGCGTCCAGGCGTTGCTCTGATCTTTTTGCAAACCGAACACCTTCCGATCTGTATTAGTATGTACCAAACTTGAAGAACCATATTATTGGTTCTTCAAGTTTGGTGCATACTAATACAGAACGGAAGGCATTCGGTTTTCTTTTCTTGAGCAATGGGTGAATGCATGGGGCAGTTAGTGACTGGATAGCTTAGTAGTTTGTATCTCTGGCTGCAGAGCCAGAGGTTGGGAGTTTGAATCCTCACTGTGCCTCCCTGATGGGGGCTGGACTTGATGATTTATAGGATCCCTTCCATCTCTGCAGTTCTAAGATTATATTTAAAAATGCTGAATAGACCAGTGGAACATCCCAAGTTCTGCAGCTGGTATACGGAAGCCTTCAGGAGATGTGGACACTTTCTTCCCAATCAAACTGTCAACAAGATGATAAGGAGGATGAAATGTAGGCATAGAGGGAAACTTCAGCACATTGGAGGGTCACACTTTAGCTCCCAGGCCCTGCTCTTGAGACACAGGCTGAAATGTAGCGGATAGCTGCCCTTAAATAAAATTAATCTATTGTGTAGGTTTCTCGGGAGGAGAGCATGGGATCTGTCTCTTTCCCAAGGCCCCCAGGAGTGGAAATAAGCTCTTTTTAAAATGGGGGTGGGGGAGAGACCTGCCTAAATGCCCCCCAGCTCAGCAATGGTGTAAAGACACCACGTCGCTGAGAAATCTCTTGGCTCAAAAAAATAAAGAACCCAATTTTTCACGAACAATCAAAAGAGCAGAATAGACGAGATCACAGCTTCCTGCAGCTAAAATGAATTGCATTTGATGCTGTGAAAAAATCTTGGAGCATAAGGTTATTTTTAAAGGGTATTTACAGGTAGAAAGGGTAGCCCCCTCTCTCCAGCAGATTTTGCTGCCTTTCCCTTATTTAACGTCCCCCTCCTTCCGCTCTGCCGAGATGAAACTGGGGGCGAAAAAGCCCACCGACCCTGGCCGCCATAAGGAGGAAATTCTACCACTCACAGAAAGCTGAGCCCATTTCATAGGGGAAGATGGTCCATAACTTACAAATCAATTTTATCGGCTAGATGGGTGAAACTAATCTGTCTGAAGGTGGCCAACACTCCACGACGTGAGCCACGCCATCGGCTGAGCGAGAGAGGTAGCTCAGATCTATAAACCTAGGTTATCTAAAGAGAGGAGCGGATGAAACTTCCTCTAGAGTAGCTAATTCAAATCCAAGACCTTGACCAATAGGCCTTAAGCCCAGTGCTCCCTATTTGAAACAAGCAACACAAATCCTGAGTCAGCTGAACTGCAGCAGACGTTTTACCCCCTCCTGCTATTTTATAGATAAAACAGAGAGACAAACAGTGACATACTCTTCATTTTAAGACTCTAATAAACCATGGTTTGATTTGAATTATCCTTGAACAGTAAGTTGGGAATGGGGGGGGGGTTTGTGCAGGTCTCAGAAAGCATTTGCACATTTGTGAGACTAGTTGTTGGCAAAACTGTGTACAACGAACCACTTCCGATTCTGGATGGGTGCCTAATTAGACTGAGGAACTCACTACCACAAGATCTCACCATGGAACAGATTTAAAGGTGAACTGGAGAAATTCATGGAGGATAAGGAGGGTTAGAGATGACCTCCAGTTCCAGAGATGGGGTGTCTCAGCACAGCAGGTGGCTGGGGAAGAGATTAAAAGTTCAAAGAAAATGGATTGGCCGCTGGCCTCTCCATTTGCTGCTTATCGTTTCGCCCAAATGTCAGGCACATCTGTGCAACAGCAAATAAGTTACTGTATGTCCATTTTGGTTTTTCCAGTGCAAGTCCAGATGTTGCTCTGATCCTTTTGCAATGGAATTTGGACCCAAGGTATCAATTGAATCAAACGAGGGGCACAGATTGTTCCCGGCTGAACCAAGATACAACTCCCACGGCCCAAGGTGGCCTCCACCAGACCAGGGACCCCTGAGCAGCCCGGGTGGCTTCCTGTAATGAAAAGTTTATCTCCTGTATGTACAGAATGTCAAATTACTGGGTCGGATTCTAAGAGCTCTCTTCTTATGTCCTTCTATTTGTGTCCCTCTGCACCAGAGCTATCAATTTTGGCAGGAGAGGAAAGCGGTACCGTCTCTCCCCCACTCATACCCACAGGTGTGGCATGAACACCTCCCCCCTCAAGAAAAAAGGGGCAGAGAATATGGTGCCCACTTCAAAGAAAAAGAAAGTTTATGTATGAGCATTTACAACCTCGCATGCTGTTTGTAGCCTGAATGACTGGGAGGGACTTTTCAGGGCTACGGTGACTGCCAATCTATCCAGCATGAACCAATCGTTCCTTCTTGCCTCGGAATTCAAGGAGAGCCCCGCCTTTCTGCTGAGAGTTCCCTTTCCCTCCCTCTTGGTTGTCAAAGTCTATTAAAAATCAGTTTTCTGTTATTTGTTAAGTTTACTGTTATCTGTTTGTAATTGTAAGTAATGGAACATTTTTATTCTTTCTCCTACCTATGTCTCAGGGTGAGTTATTGAGATTGTAAGGGCTAGTGAAGGAGAAAAGGGTGGATTAATCTTAGGCACTTGAAGCTCTTCTCCTCTGTGAGTCTCTACACTTGAAGCTCTTCT